AAGTTGTGATAGGGATGGAGTGAGATAAGAGGATAGGGAGTATATGGATGTTCAAGAACAGAAATAGAAGTGGTAACAACCATTAAGCAGAAAGTTGGTTAAGGGATTGACTTCACTTTTCTCTTTGACGAGTTTTAGTTTGGTGCTATGACATGACCAAGTTGCCAAAACTATGTCAGATCACTTCTTTACATCGAAATGATACTGCGACCAAACCACAGACCATAATGTCTTGGTATTCATATCTTTTCTTTTACGGGATTTGATAACTTCAATTTCCCCGCAATTGAGCAGGAACGAATATCACATGTAATTGGCACAATGCTCTCTTAAAAAAGGATCAATTGTTGTACCCTTGTCATTTAGCTTTTGATAGCTCATGGTTACCATTTTTTGAATAATGTAATTAAACCATTTGAAATATCGAAGGGGTTTGGCCTCGTTATCTTTCTATACTTTATATCACTAGTGTCTGCGGTTTACAGAACATACATCAAGTTTGCATTTGTTTATTCACTATGTCTTTCAGATATGTTTGTTCTTTAATTATATTTTGATATTAAATGCATGTATAAAAACATTGGATGCTGGTTCATGTACATCTAGATGCTGTAGAGACGCGTATGCGCGCTTTTGAGCAACACTATCGTGAATGGGCCGCAACCACTCCTGAGACCACCAATGCTCTAAGGCGCCTCAGACTACCTGTCCCAGACAGTGTCGACTTTCCGACTGATTCGGACAGGCTGGGCTCTCTCTTCCTAATCAGTCCTAGTACGACAAATGATCCTTCGGCGCACGGGGCGCCTTCAACTTCCTCGTCCAGCACGGCAGGTGTAGCTAACTCACTTTTGGCAGGCTGGGCCCAGACAAACACAGGTCCTGGCCATGTAAATGGTCAAAGCTTGAGTCCTGCCCGAACTCAACATTTTCCCGCTTCGGGCTTAGAAAGTTCTAACTTGACTTCCAGAGCTACGTTTTCATCTGATCGACAACTACTTTCTGCTAGGCAAGTAGTTAGTGGACGACTCAGCTTATTGGTCGATGGATCAAGACATCAACAACAGCAGCAGCAACAACAACTTGGTATTGGCTTGCCTCCTACACCACAGGTTCATGTAAGTATTACAATATATATGTCACCATCACTATGTAGACCTTTATATTGGCCTGTAATCTGCCTTTATATCCAGATCTGGTTTGTTTTGCTTGTCTTAGTTTTTGCCCCTCGTTAGAACCTTCCTTGTCAGCCACTTACTGCCGTTGTTAGCTAAACTTATTTTTCCCTTATTTTCTAGCCTTCATCACTTATTTGTTTTGCTAGTGTTGATTTCTCATAATAGCCTTTATC